ATGACCTCTTGAGGTCCCTTCCAACCCTGATAGTCTATGATTCTATGAAGACTGCAGCCTTCTTTGTGCTCATGATTCTGTACCCAAATAGTCATTTATCTGTTTGTCTCCCATGGAAGAACATTTTGGATGACATCCTGGCGCTGTTAACCAATTGAAAAATTCCCCTTAACTTTCATGGGGCCAGGATATATTTGCCCTTTGACTTCAGTGGGACTACTCACATGCTTAGAGTTTAGCACATTCATATGTTCTTTACTGGATTGGGCTTGAGTTTGTTAGTCAGTAACTGTCCCCGCCCTTTATATCACTGGCTAGCTTGCACAAGTGCTGCCCCAGTGGGTATCTCTAAGTGGAAAAACATCTCTGGGTCCAGTGCACTGGTTGTGTGTAGAACAGAAGTGGAATGGATGTAAAAGTGAAAGAGGTTACAGAACAGGTAAGTAACAGTTTCTTTCTAGTTATCTAATTTTTGACAAACTTAAAAAAAAAAAATTAAAGGGAAAACCTTTGCTTTTACCCTGTTGTTTCTTTAATGATAGAGAGGTGTGAATTGTATTGATATTATTAAAAAATTAGTAAATCTTTTATAAAAAATGCATTCATAGGAAAGTAACCTTTCAGAATCTGAAATTTTTTTTCCCCTGAATATATTTATTTACTTTGTTCCAGTGGACCAAGCAGATCCATTTGCGCACATAGCTGCACTTCACTTTGATCAAATGCTTCAGAGGTTTGGCTCTCCCATTATCATTTTGAATCTTGTGAAGGTACAGTATTGTTTAGTCATAACTTGGTGTGGTATAAATAAATCAATAAACTTAAAATAAAAATAATTTTAATTATACTAAGTTTTTGCATTTAAAGCCAGATTATAGACTCATTAAAGCCAATGAGAGTTTTGCTGCTTAAATTTGGTTCTGAAAGCTGGCCTTGCACTAAATATAAATTTAATATTAGTTTCTAATAGAAAATGCACATATTCAGATTAATAAATAACAAGATTACTTGTAGGAAAGCTTGAATGAACAAACAGGTGAAATTCCTCCCTTGCTGTTTTCACTCCTATCCATCGTTAAGCCGGTTTCAGTGTATCAGTTGTCCTTCTAACACAGAAGAGTTGGATATGGCTCCCAGTGGAGCTTTTCCATGCAATTTTGAAACAGCCAGAAGGATTACATTTTATAGTGAAACATAAGGATCCATTTTGATTGGATCTGAATGCGCTAATTCCATCTCACAATGAGCTAATACCAGCCCACAAATGGAGGACCTTTTTCACAAACCTGTTCCCCTACCCTGGTGTACCTTGCATTATAACTAGACTGCCAGTATAGTTCTCCAGAAATAAAATATCCTTAATGATTGTACACTTCTTGCAATACATACTTAATCTTTCCTTTCAGGCTATTGGAATCACCCCACCTTGAGCAGCAATATTTGAACCATGGGTTTAAAATATGTCCAGACAGTAATACCAGTATGAAGCCTGGAAATCTGTGGCAGAGCCAGGAACTGAATTTAGATATTCTGATTCCAGTCCCCAGTGCTTTAACCAAAAGGCCATCTTTCTTGTTTCTGCTTCACTCTATTTACCACCAAAGTATGTCACAGTACAATCATATGACTGCAAGAAGTCTTGGTGATAAATTTCCAAACTAAAACTACTGTACCCCATGCAAAACATCTTGAAAAACAGTAAATTCTCCTTTTGTCTGTCAGTGTCTAATGCATATCTTAAGCATTTGACAGGCAGTCTGGATGATGGAATATTAAATATAAATATTACTTTTAGCCTTCTCATCAAAGAGAGTAATTTAGATATGTATTAAGTGTTGAATATTTTCAGATGCTAATGATAAATAAGTCTTGAAAATATAAGGATCTGTTTGACAGTGAGAGAGTGTGTGACAGACAATATCTGTTGAACAGTATTTGAATCCAATACCTTCATAAGCCGGACACTTTATTGAAAAGACCAAACAGTCCTTGATTGGCATCCAGGGGGCCCAACTTATTCTGAGAATGAAAACCACTGTAAATACATATATCCCACACAGGGACCAATTTGTTTTCTCCTATTTTTGGAGGAAGAAGATAGGTGATGGCAATAAGGGTCCAATCATACTAAGAAGTTGCATGCAAAGAACATTACTCACATTGATAGATTACTGGATTGTGTCTTTAAACAAATGAGCGGAACGAAATTAGGTACAGTTATATATATAATCTTGGATTTAACTGTATAATTCATGTTTGAATTTATAAAAGGGCATTAATACTTTGAACATAAATTAAAAAGAACACTTGGAAGAGAATAAATTTTGAACTTTTGAATAATTCAATCCAAAAACTGCAGTATATCTATGCAAAATATAATGAAAAAGTAAATGTTTAATGTATGTTTTGCCTCTTAACAAAAAAGTTCAGAGCAGAAAAGGAGGAATTTCATCTTAATGTTTCTGTTACTAACTGCTTTATAACTTTTGTGACCATATGGGTAAAATATGTACGTTTTAAAGAAAAGAAATACAATTGTAATAACAATAAAATGATTTAATAGACCTAATTAATTATACAATGCCTATGGAGAAAGGAAATGTAGAAAAGAAATAGTTGCAGAAGAGGTATATGGTGTGACAAAGTTCCTCCTCTATCTTGGTGGGTCCTGCGCTTATTGGCGGATTTTCTTGCTTCAGAGATTCACCATGGGGGTTGGGGAACAGCCCAGAGACCTTCCCCTCTAGAAGAACCCACAGTCCAGGTCAATTGGGAGGTTTGGGGGGAACCCGGGCCCGCCCTCTACTCCGAGTTCCAGCCCAGGGCCCTGTGGACTGCAGCTGTCTATAGTGCCTCCTGTAACAGCTGCATGATAGCTACAACTCTCTGGGCTAAATCCCCATGGCCTCCTCCAAACACCTTCCTTATTCTCACCACAGGACCTTCCTCCTGGTGTCTGATAACGCTTGTGCTCCTCAGTCCTCCAGCAGCACACCCTCTCACTCTCAGCTCCTTGCGCCTCTTGCTCCTAGCTCCTCACACTCCCCCCACAAACTGAAGTGAGCTCATTTTTAAAACCAAGGTGCCCTGATTAGCCAGCCTTAATTGATTCTAGAAGCTTCTTCTTAATTGGCTCCAGGTGTCCTAATTAGCCTGCCTGCCTTAACTGGTTCTAGCAGGTTCCTGATTACTCTAGTGCAGCCCCTGCTCTGG